ATAGTTATATATATATGACTTGCAATGATAGCTTTATTTTTCATTAAAAAATGGAACTATTCAAAGTTTTATAAAAAACACTTGCTATTTATAATAATTCTTATATGGGTCCAGTCTTTAATAATAGTTTGGCTATGAAAGATAATTTTGATAAAACAATAAATATCATTGTTAGCATAATCCTTTATTTGTTGTATACGAAAAATCGTTAAGAGATATATGGTTTTGTCTTACTTAAAATGATTTTTTTCTTTAGAAATTTTTTCTTTAGATGATTCTTTAAAATAAAAGTTTGATCTTTATTTTATAGTTGATAAAAATCGTAGTTACTTAATTATTACTATTTTTTTGAGTACAGTTGTTAAGCAAAATATTTATTTTAGGAATTGCATTTAATGTACTATGATAATAAATAAAGCTTGTATTTTATATTTTGGTGAAGTATAAATCAAATAATAAACACAGATTAAATAGCCTATACATCTAAATGCTCTTGTTAAGCACCTTCTATAACCTGACTATTATTATTTTTTTTACAATTAACAGTTTTTATATTCACTTTTTTTGTAAATATATATTGTTTTTTTTTGGTTTAATGTTTTTTATCTTTTTTTGTCCTCTTTATCATAATTCCTTCTAATTTTTCAGTTTTTTTTTTAATGTTTTCTACTGGGTTATCGAGTAGAAAAGTTATTATTATTATTAAAGTTAACATTAATATTACAGTTAACATCTGATTTTGATATACATATTCATCATTTTTTGAATTTTAAACCTTTTTTGAATTCTTTATTTTTGCATTTTTAGCAAAAATCCTTTGCATAAATACTATACTGAAAAAAACAAATCAATTGTCTGCTTAATTCAACCATTGGTAGTTTGGGGTGTTGATGAACAAGAGAAATGATCCAGCTTGTAAATTAACATATAATCCTATTGTTATTATTGGACTGCTTAAATTTGATTTACATAATACATTATTCATTCAATTATTTATCTAGCTAAAACAAATTTTTGAAAATGTTTTTTTTAATCATTTACTATTTTTAATGACCAATATGATATATTGTTTTCATTTGACAGAAGTTAGTGATACAAATCAAAATTAAAATTAATCGATTAGTTGATTAGTTGACAACTAATCGACCGAACTTTTTAGACACCAACTAATCGATTAAAGAATTAATTCATTAGTTGCGGTGCTTTTAGATTGTAAATAATTGTCCTTCAGAGTTATGAGTATAATGATATAGAACACGTGTATTTAATTATAATATTATTTTATTTTTATAGGTTAGTATTACAAATCATTAAAATTTTTTCAATCGATTAGTTGCAACTGGAAATATTGTGTAGATTAATTCCTGATTTTTTTTGATATTAGAGAATGGGAGCTTAGCATTGAGTTATGTATAAATCATGTGATCAGTTAGCAAAATAACAATTTGTTTTCAAACAAATATATATAATAATTACTGTATGGTTTTTATTTTAGTGAGCTTAGCACCTTTAGAATTATGATTACATAATTAATAACTATCTGCTATTAATTTGACATTTTTGCTTTGCAGCACTCAAATAATGTTTAATCATATATCAATTTCTTTTTATTATCTTATTGACTAAAATAATAGTATAATAAATCTAAAAAATAAAGTTTTATAATGTAGTAAATATAATTACAATTACTACTTTAGTAGTAAATAATTACTACATATCATAATTTAAATTACGACACCATACTTTATTTCAGGCAATGCAATATCGATATAAACTTATGTGGCTTGCCAATCTTATTGACTTTCACGTAATTAAATCTCAATTTAAATTTTAGCATTTTCGCTAGTTTTTTATTTTTTTATCGTTATCGTCATTGTTATGTTTTTTCTATCCTTTTAATTTGAAAATATGTATTAGTATAATTTGTCAGACTACAGCATATCATCACAATATGATTTGGTTTAATATAACTCGAGAATTTATTTTCATGTATCAACGTCATTACATTTTTGATGAATATGTATATGTAAAATTATAATAAGATCATTATATATTAATATAAGCAATGTAGGGAAAATTATAACAAGAATTTCAGGTTTTTGACATATTTTTCTTTTCAAACATTCTTGGCTACTATGCTATTAAAAATAATAATCAAAATTGTAGAAAGTAAAGAAATTATAAAAAATTTGATCAACTTAATTTAGAAAGCAACTGAAGGAAAAGTTGTCACTGTTACTTTCAATAGCCAGTTATGCTTAGCAACCATCTCCTTAGATAATAGAATTAACACTACTCTAAATTTGGAAGCATCAAGAGCGATCCTTATTAAAGAAGACATTTCTAGCAAGATAATAAATAAACATGCTGGTTTTATAATTGATGATGTACCAGTATGTATATGCACTGATGTGAGTGACACTACGTAACTAAAAAAAAAAGGTCTAAATATAGAATATATAATGATCAAAGAGATTTTAGTAGTCATTTAACATTTCAAAATCTGTAAAATAAAAACTAGGGTAATCAAGATAATGAATTGTTCTCACAAGTCGATGAAAATGATAAATTAAATTCGGATTATGAAGTTACTAAAGGAATTGGGAAAAATATTAGTCCAAAGAGAATTCAACGAACTGAAGACAAACAGATAAATAAGATCTCTAAAATTACTAAGAAAGATCAAGTGAGTAATATTTTTTCAGTTGAATAATATTTAATTTTAGAGATTAGATCAACTGAAATTAACTGTTATACTAACCTAAGTCTTATCTTTAAAAATGCTCCAATTGATATTTATGAAATTTATTAATTCTAATAATATAAATTTTTAACCACACAAACTATTGACATTAACAAAGAATTTAATCTTAAGAGAAAATATTAGTGGTGATGACGGTAGTGATGATGATTCACCAAGATGGTCAGAATGTGAAGAATGCTATGGATCTAAAAAAGAATTTTGTGACCTTTGTGGTTGTTCTGTATGTAAATGGAATGGAGATCGAGGTTATATTCTCCTGTGTGATAGATATTGTGGTAAAGGCTTTTACATCAGGTGTTTAAAACCACCACTTGCAAGAATACCAGCCAGAAACTGGTACTGCATGAGATGTTCAAAGAAATTAAAACATAAGACACAATCAGATGATTTAAGTTCAAGTGACAATGTGAGAAAAATTAAAAATCAAATGGTAATAGAAAACGTAAACTATTACTAGATCATAATAGTAAATAAGCTATTTTTATTATTCTGTATTAAAAACAAACTCAAAAGTATTATATAAATTTATTAGTAAAGTATGTGGAAGATACAGAATCTACAGATGATGAAGTGGTGAATGATAGTCAAGTAAATTTTTAATTTAGTGATCTTAAGATTTTAAAAGCTATATATTAATATTATTATCGATATAAACTTGTTTTCTTATTTCTCAAAAGCAAACAGATGAAATTGAAGATACTACAGCAATTTAACCACAATTAGATACAAACGGTGTAAGATTTTATAATTAAAATTCAATAAATCTACCAAAACAAAAATTGAATTACAAAGCTAATTTCAAAAAGGCATTACTTCATCACAATCCCGAAGCAAATGATGATATTATAAAGTCAATTAATAATTATGAAGATGGTAAAAAACTCGTATAGCATTTTGATATATTCTTTAATTCTGATTCATTATCTAAAACACATATTTGTTTAAAATCTAGCAGAATGAATAAAAAAATATACTGGTTACTATTAACTAAATATTTTTTTTGGTTAAAAGATGGTGAGACATGGCAAAAAGTGGAAAAGTCCTTCGAATTGTTTAGAAAAATATAAGAAAAAAGTGCATCTAGATTTACCAAGGGATATTAAAGAGAAAGAACAAATGCGATATTCTTCGTCTGAAACTGAATCTGATGGTAAGAATTGATCTATTTTAACCTGTATATCTATGTAAAATTATAAATTGATATCGTATATCACGATTAGAGTATAAATAAACATCATTGTGCACAAAGGTTCTAAGCAAAAAGCTGCAAATAAGTGGTAAGTTAGGCAAAAAAAAAAAAAAGAGAATTTTAGTGCTCTTTATAACTTGAAACACAAAATTTTAATTTTTTTTATAACTTATTAACTGATAATTTTTTAAAGAACAACAAGTAGAACAGGCGAAGAACAACAAGTATCCCAAATCAAAAATATCAAATAATTTATATTTTATAACATCATATTTTTTAGAAATAAATATATTTATAGCAACTGTAGTTAGAGTTAGGTTTGGTTATATGAATTGTTATTGGCTGCACTAAATAAGTTGTTACAAATAAATATATAACATGTTGTGATTAGATGAGTTCATTTGTTAAAACAATTTTCAATTATACAATCAGAATATGTAGATTCATTGAAGGAAGCAAGAAGAATCAAGGAAATAACAGAGAATTTTGCATCTCATAATCCAGGAAAAATATTTGAAATGTTTTCTCAGTCTATCGACCAATATTTTAATAAAGATCCCTCGGAAGCATCACTGGAGTCTGAACAGTTCTCAAAGATAATAGAAGATATTCAAGGCTGCACCAAATACTTAGCAATTTGGAATTTACATTTCAATAATTGTGAAAGATTAATCGAAATTCAGGATTATAAAATGTTGAAATTAGTTTATTTATTAACTAACATATTTTTCATTATGCTAAAAATTTGCTATCAGGAACAAGTTAAAAGATACGTCGTTAGTAAAAAATACTAATACTTGGAAGGGGAGTGATATTAAATCGTGAATGAACAAATTTTAGAATATAGATTCATGTACAATATTAAAAAAGTGGACTAGTTGTTGAAGATTATGTTATTTTCTTTGGGTAACAAATATCACACCTGAGGAAATGGTTAAAATAAAGTTAAAAGCAGATTTCTTTTGTAATGCGACAGAAATAGAATACAACTTCCTCATCAAAGAATTATTAGGGCAAGATTTCCCTAATTTTTCGAATATAAAAGATGAAAAAATTTTAGACTTAGTAGAAATTGCCAAGAATATAAAATCTTAATTGTACTATAGCATGATGCTTAATTAAAAATATATATAAACTAGTGCACTGCTAAAAAAAACTTTTAATTTGATTGTTGTTTTATGAAACATCACAAACTTAATAACAGTAAAAATTATGAGTTTGATCCAGTAGGAATTATGATATTCTTCAAATAAATTTTGATTATTCATAGATTCCAGCTCTAAACTAATTAGAAATTAGATATTTCTCATTTGCAAAACAAGCTGAGTATTTATGCATATTATTACTCAACAAATTCTAGATATTTTAATTGATATAATAGTAAAAGCCACTTAAAATTTATTTAAATAACTTTAAATTCATTAAGATATAAACTACAAAAAATTAGGTTATTGATTTTTTTTCTAGTTTATGTATTTATAAATCCAATTTATCTAAAAA